GAATATTCTGCGTTTACCTTCAGTTGCAAAGTTGCCGAATTTACGCTCAATTGCGCTATTTTACGCTTGAGAAATACTTCGGAAAAGTTAGGCCAGACCAAGCTGACTCTGGATCTTTTAGCGTTAGAACTAGGGACAAATAGCGGCAACATTGTCGATTCGAATAGGATTTCTGGACAAAAATTTAAAAAGACACGAAACTGTTCTAAATCGAGCGCTGCGTTCCAAAACTACAACTGATTAAATGGTGCGTGTTTGGGGAAATACGGCATTTTCACAGCATTCAAAGTATGGCCCAAGTGGAAAAATTGTACTAAAAAACAACCATCTACACAACCATCAGTATTAGAAATACGTTTCCTAAATTAAGAGCTCAAGTGCACATTAGCCAAATCCAGATCTTTTTTTTTTTAGTTTAAATAGTTCCACAAATATTCTTGAATTTTAGCAAATTTCTTCCGCCAGAATCCGCCAAGGTCCAGATCTATGCAGTAGATAAGGATTCACAATCTTGAAGCAGCCGAGTTTTCTTCTTCTTCTCCACTTGCCAAAAACCGTTACTTTTGGCGGCAAAAACCGTCATATATTTTCAAAAAAATAGAGATTCTTCCAATGTGCGCAATTGATATCATTGGACCTGAGATGGTACGAGATTGCACTTACTCTACTAAACTAAAATGACACAAATGTCGTCCCAAATGACAGCACTTGACGTGCGAATGTGGTTAAGAAAAACACAGTTAGTCTGTCCCAAGCTTTTTAATAGTTACACAATAATTGTAGATCTTTTTCTATTACTTGTCCAACGAACGAGACGGATGATGTTGTTAACGCACGTTTTTCATCAAATTGTTATAATTAATTTACCGATAGGTACAGGGTGTTTCCTCATAAGTTGATCCCCCCCCCCCTATATCGTTTATTTCAAAAACATTGCGAAAGTGACTAAAACAAAAGTTGTTTAATTTTACTCAAATTTTTTAATCTTAATTTAAAATAAAAATATGAAACAGGGGGAAATGTCAAAATTTGGCAGTATTTTTTTAATGAAACACCTTATATATTTGTAGGCATACCAATAGGACTTTTTCCTGATTTTAAAAATATATATATTTTGCCTATTGCGAGGCAGCTGTATTGCGAGGCGGCTGTATTAGCCGTTTTTTCCTATATTACGTTTCAAAAATTATAAATAGCAACAAATCAAATTCGACACGAAATTCATCATTGAAATTCGACAAGTCGCTTCCTCCACCCCATAACGTTCGGCCGGTAGCACTTTTTTAAAATGAAAATGTTGATATCTCGATCGCACGAGCGGATCCAATCCAATGGCCTCCAAATATCCCCGACCTAACGCCTCTTGATTCTTTTCTCTGGGGTTATTTGAAGAATATTGTGTATGAGACCCTAGGTAGACGCCTTAAAATAGTGGATGCAATTAACGATATTAATATTAACAATAACCAATATATTCAAAACGTTATCGATAAAATTCAAGTAGATTATAGAGCATGTCTAGCGTTAAACGGAGGTCACATACACAATCAGTGATTTTAATGATTTTGTTTTTATTGATTTATCTGTTTAGATTTTCATAGTGGCAATAAATTCCGTTATGTTGTCCTTCTAAAGTGTTTGTGTCATTTGAGACTACTTTAGTTTGTGGCTATTTAAAATTTTTAAAACATAATACAGAGAAAACAGCTAATACAAATCTAGGCAACATATGTATATTTCTGCAATCAGGACAAAATATCCAATCGACCAGTCTAAAAATATACCGGGTGTTTCATAAAAAAAAGACTGTCCAATTTTGACATTTCCCTGTTTCATATTTTTATTTTAAATTCAGATAAAAAAAAATTGGGTACAATTATACAACTTTTGTGTTGGTCACTTTCGCAATTTTTTTGAAATAAACGATCTAGGCGGGTGTCAACTATTGAGTAAACACCCAGTACATTTTCTAATTTGTGTTTTATTGTCGGGTATCGAAACGGTTAATTTTGCTCATATTTTTATAATTTTTATCTGCGATTTTCTTTATGATTTGACTGCAGGTTTGCTACCATGAAAATAACGCAATTTATCGCTCACAGGTAACGCCAACAGAGGCAAATTAATAACAGCACTGAAAAACGTGATTTATTGTCCCGATTAATTGTTTACGTTCTACAAATTTAACCTCACTTTTGCAACTTGAATAAAGTGAGGTTCTCAAAACTTTGGTTTTGTCAGTAGTTATTCAGGATTTAAGCAACTGGAGATTTAAGCAGGTTGTAGTCTGGAATGTATTTGCCCAGGAACTTCTGCAGTCTGGTCTACAAGTGGAAAAAGTTTCGATTTTGAGTCATCTTCAGGAAATTTTCTGAAATTTGGCTTGTACTTTGTGACAGTGTTTACGCAGAGTGAATTTTGCAGTCCGTTTTATAACTAGCAAAGGTTTTGATTTTGAGACATCATCAGGTTATGTTCAGCATTTTTTTAATTTGCGTTATAATTTTATGTTTATTTGTCAAGTTATGAAAACATTATGGATGAGGTAGGCCTGGGTAACACTGTGCTGAGTTGGCCCTTTGAGTTGTTGCCGCTCTCTGAGTTAATGGGTTTTAACTCATCGCTTAATGAGTTATAACTCATTTACCGATGATCCAAACTGGAATTTTAACATTAAGTTGTGAAGAAACTTAAAAAACTTCTTTCCATTTTGTCGCAAATTCAAAGGTTAAACGGGTATTCGAAAAAGACGATAGAGAAGTCCAAACTATACAGACGACGAATTTTCTGCTAAAATCGATCTAATTTTTTTTGCATAAAAGGCGTGCAGAATTTCAATTTTGCAGGAATTTCCGTTGATTTTTGAGAAATTTTCACGTTTTACTTTAAAACTGCTCTCCTAATAGTGCGCTGTTGTCTTGGAAAATCTGTGAAGTGCAAACAAGAGCAGCCAACAAAAAAATTGGTAGTTTGTAGAACGCTGTAGGATTGAATTATTAAAGCTGCAAAATCCAATTTTGCTGGAATTTTTATAGATTTTTTAAATCTGTTATAATTAGCGTTTAAAAATGCTCTTAATGGTTTTCTTTGAAAATTTATAGTGTAATAAAAACCACCCAAAAAAATTGTTTTGGATTTTGGCAGAAGACGCTTAAAATATTAAGGATACAAAACTATAATTTTCTATAAAGTTTTTTACAGGTAACTTTAGAAACTGCCGTCTTAGTAGTGCTCAGTTCTCTTTGAAAATTCATAATATTTAACGCTTGAAGGTAGGAAAACAAAAATCAATTTGGTATTTTTGTAAAACAGACTCCGGAGCTATTCAGAGTGCAAATTTTCAGTTTTGCAGAAATTTTCTGTGATTTTTAAAACATTTTCACATCTTACCTTTAAAACTTTCGTGTTAATAGTGTGCGGTTCTCTTTAAAAATTCGCAAAACTTAGTCAGTTTTCAAAGTTTTCCAAATAATTGTTTCTAAACTTTCGCTTGTTCTATGTTCTGAGAACTGACTTGTCAGAAATTCCTAACCTTTTCAAAGTTAAAACGGTATTTTGCCTTATTAAGTGCCATTGAAAGTTAACTGTGCTACCAGTCACATTTGATACCATAGCGAATATCGGCCCAAAAGTATCTTTTCAATAGAGCGCCTCGAGAAACATCCTTCGAATAATTAATATAAGCGTAATCGCAAATTTTTAACCTTTAAAAAGTTAGGGGCAAAAGTTTCAATATTTTAATGCATATCTAGAGAACGGTTGGAAATATCCAGCCAGCCGTACGGACTTTTTCGATGGAATGCACCAAGAGCTATATTGCTTGCATTAAGGTTCTCCAAAATTTCTAACCTTTAGAAAGTTAGAAGCAAAATAAAACTATTTTCTTTAACAACTTGCTAAGACAGACTAACAAAAGCTGCCTTCCTTTCGCAGGTTTTAACAGAAAGTCCTAACTAGGCCTGGGTGACACTGTGTTGAGTTGCGCTATCGAGTTGTTGCCGCTCTCTGAGTTAACAAGTTATAACCCATCGGTTAATGAGTTTTAATTCATTTGCTAAAGCCTTACGAGACCCGAGACTGGAATTTTCACATACTAAAAAGGGTTAACTTTTTTTCTGGGTAACGTTTTAATCCTTTGTTCAAACAATCAAAAAAAAGTAATCTAGATTTTCCCAGCAACAGAACTGAGTCCATAGAAAGTTTTCTTGTAAAATTGATCTCTTAATTTGTTTGCATAAAAGATTCAGTTTGCCAGTATTTTGCAGTAGAACGTTAGGAAAAATGCGGTTTTTCTGTTTACAAAAAGTGTTGTCTAGAAATATTGACCTAAAAGTGTAGAAACTCCAGTTTCCAAGAGTTTCCCAAAAAAATGATTATAAACTTTTGCTTTTTGAGTTCGGGAAAATATTTTTAGAAGACCTCGAAATACTTATGAGGGTTTTGTCCATAATTCGAAGCTGCAAAAAAGTTTTCCAAACATTTTGGGAAAGCGGTTAAGGAGGCGAGTGCTCCAATAAAATGTATCTCATAATTTTTCACAGAAAATACCTGAAGATTGCCAGTATTTTAAGTAAAACTATAAAATATTGCGATTTTTGCGTAGAAAGAATTGCTTAATAGAGACTTTGTTAAAACTGGAATGAGCTGAAAAGTTACAAAAACTTTAGAAATCATCAGCGATGAGGGCGGCGAATTTTCCCAATAATTATTTGTAAACTTTTGCTCTCTGGTCGATTTTTGAAGATAATCCTAATTACTTTCGGTAAGAAACTGAATAAATAAAGTGCCCTGCAACCCGACGAATGAGGCAAATTTTTAAGCAAAATTAATTTGGTCATTTTTGACGGAAAACACCCCGTTATTGGCAAACAAGAAGAAAATCGTCAGAAAATAATGCTTTTTTGCGTTTTCGATTAAAAAGTTTTAGTTTTGTGATCGGTTTTGGAGAAAACCTTTTCGGTTTTTGGTTTTTGAGTTTCGGGAAAAAACGGTAGGAATTAATTTTCGTTTTTGTCCCGAATTTGACACCGAAAAAAGTTTTTGTAAAATTTGTACAAAGCTATAAATTTATCTTGGAATTTTTCCCGTGAAAGACTTGATTGTCAGTATTTTTAAGTGAAACTCTTCAAAATAGAGCGTTTTTGAGTAGAAAGTAAAGCAAAAAATCGCAGTTTTTTTAACAAACTCTACAGTCTTCACGGGGTGGGGCTGACGAGCCCAAATAATGTATTATAAACTTTTCTTCTTCGTTGTTTCATAAAAAATTATTTGATTTTTATACCAAATTCAAAGCTGGAAAAGGATTTTACAACTTTTGACAAATCGACGAAGGATGCGAGTGTTTTAATAAAATGTATTTTATAATTTTTCGCAGAAAAAACTTTAAGAATGTCAGTATTTTAAAGTGGAACTTTAGTTTTCAGAAGCTTTTAAGCGCTTAGCGTTTAGAAGAAAGAGTAACTTTGCTAAAACTGAAATTTGAGAATTCAGAAATTAAAAACAACTGAAAAAAAGTCATCAACATTTTCCCAGCAACAGAACCGAGTTACTGCGCCGGTGCATTGGGTTGACGCACCAAGCCATTGCGCTACACTGCGCCAACTCCCAAAAATTCACTGAGTTGCCCAGGCCTAGGATGAGGTCACTGCCAAATAGCTTGGGACAGACTGTAGAAACCCAAATCGAACGTGTTCGACTCATGGATACTATTGGCTGCGAATTACGCAATCTAGAAGTTTGGATAACCCAAAATGGTTCTAGTTCAGATCCCCATGCACTGTGTTAAATGTTTTGTTTCCAACTTTTCAAAGATCAAGATTGTCTCCAAGTCCCCTATTGACTAACGAGTCGCCTTCATCCAACTCTTCCACATAAATATGCATCCTTCGATAAAAAAATACGTGTAGGTAATTAAGTACGCTCGCATTAGACACCCAGAAAACCCCATCAAATTCCCTTATCTAACTATTGCTTCATTCGAGCACGCACAGTAAACGCAACTAAATCAACCGATCCATCGATGTGTACATGGGTCATACGGAAGTCTCCGAGTTCAGCCTCAGCACAAACTTGTTGCTCTTGGGATCCACCACCTCCTCAGTGATATTAAAGTGGGGCAACTTCTTGACGCTGCACAACAAGGAGACGTCGTTCTGCCTGAGCTGGAACAGCGCCCCATCAGCGATCGGCCTGGTCAGCAGTTCCTCGCATATCAAAGCCCACGTTTGCACACTCTTCTGTTCCTTCTCGTTCTGGAGCACCGGGTCACTGACCAGGAACGGTTCCAGGAAAGCCTTCGGCGTCAGGTCGTTGCTCAGACAGTTGGCCAGATGGCTGAGAATGGAGTCCACGGTGTGTCGCGGCTGCTGCCTGGTGATCCGCAGGTACTTCTGCAAAGCCCTGGCCATCGAAGGGAAGATGGCCTGGGCGGCTTCATGCGGATCCATTGGAATGGCTGGCACTTGGTCGTGGTGCAAGCGCTTGATGTGGGTAAAGGCTTCTTCGGCTGCCGTCACCAGTCGGGCTCTCCGTTTCTTCACTCTGCGCTCGTACTCGTGCTCTTCATAGAACCGCTCATTGTGGCTGGAATCGCGCCGCCTGGCGTGAGCCGCCAACATTGCCCGGGACTGGGACTGCTGGATTTGGGAGTTGTTCGCGCCATCCACGTCGTAAAACTTGAAGCTGGTGGAAGTCTTGCGCGACTTCGAGACCGGGATGCGCTCTAAGTAGGGGTTGTAGATGGGGAACTCTGTGTAGTACTTTTCAAGAACCCAAACGGCTGCGCGCTGGATGCTCAGCTGGCCGATCCCATAGGCGCGACTCGCCCCGTCCGGGCTGCGCACGATCTTAATATAGTACTGCGGCTGCAGATGGCGGATTTCCACCAGAACCACCGCCAGATAATGGATGAAGAGCAGAGTGTCGGTTAAGCTGGACGCGTAGGCCACCAGCGCCTTGTAATCAACAGTTTCCTCTGGGGTAGTGGCGGCCCGAGCCGTTTCCGTGACTTGCACGATGTAGAACAGCCAGTAGGCAAAGCAACAGATGAGAACGAACAGAAGAACGCCCGCCCGGAACAGGAAGAACCTGGGCAAGGTCGCGTGGGGCTTTCGCAGGAAAACCGCCCAGGCGCCGATGGCCAGGATGGCCATCTTGAAGGCCAGCGAAACCAACTGTCCCTTGCACTCAGCGCCGCAAGCCAACAAGCGATCGCCCTCGGCCAATCCCAAGCGATTGGACAGGGCGGGGAAGAAGCCCAACTTGGGGAAAACGACCATGGCGACCGGACTGAGGAAAGCGACGGCCGATAGGACGTAAGTGATCAAAGCGCCCATGTAGCGCTGACACATGAAGCCGATCCCAGTGTCCGGCTCGCCTGGCCAATTGCTCACGTCTTCAGTGGACTGGGACTGTTCGGACGTGTTGCCCGTTATCGCTGTTGTGTTCTCGCCCCAATTGTCATCCTGCGGCAATATTTGCACCTCAATTATTTCCTGACCGTCTCTATTGTCGGGCGTTATTGTTACAGCTGTTTGAAACGGCGCCATGTCTTCGTTCTTTCGCGACTTACTGCTTCTGCAACAAAAATGGTTCGCATATAGGTAGTTACAATACTGGGCGCCTACAGTGGACTGACCTGCACCAGTCGCCATCAATAATCTTATCACCATCAAGAATACCATTAAAATTTAATCTTCCCCTGTTTTCAATTGGTTAATTGTCTGAATGATTGGTTGGCAAGGAGGAGGACACCTTGGGCTCACCCTACCAGTCGGGAATTTAGTTAATTAAGGGAGCGATTGCTACGTGACAAGACCAACAGGCTAAGAAGCTGAGTGCAAGTGGGACAGTTGCTCAAAGAAGACGTGTTAATTCTACGGCTGGAGGAAGAGGATTAATAGACCTTGACCCATTTCAACCCAAACCACTTAGAACGGCTAAGGTTGGGACCATTTCTCTACACTAATTGTGGCTAGTAGTGGTGCTATAGCAATAAAACTGGCGCAGTCGCAAGGGTCGCTGCAGTAGATGCTTTATTTCGGTTTGCCAGTCCGTTTCTTTAAACTGGGCACTTTTGTTCAAGTGTCAAGGTTCAAAGTTATCCAATTTGACCTTTTTTGTGCAAGATTAGTTGGTTTTGATTTTAAAAAAACGGCGCTTTCCTTTGTTTCAGATGCAGAAAGTAAAACTGGAAAACTGCCGATTTCAATTTAATTTTTCTGCACTACTGAAAATAAAAAAATGCAAATACATTTTTAAAAGATAAACATTTGCAGAGTTTACGTCACATAAGTAAAAAAATATACTTGAGAGCGTCCCAAAAATGTACATTAACCTGCGCTTTTTTTAAAGGATATATTTTGAGTTCATATTTATATATATTTGAGTTGTGTTTCTGAAGAAAGATAAAGTTCGTGCTTTCTCTGGTTGATTTCGGGTTTTGAAATTTTGAAGCTTTTTCGAGATTAATTTTTTGTAAACAATTGTTTAAGCTGGAGTGCTCTTTTATGGACATTTTCTTCAGCTTTCCGACTAATTTTAAAATTTATTCAATTCAACTTTTGCAAAGCTGTTTTCAGATTATTCCGGTTCTCAAGTCCAACTTTTTGCAGCCTATTTCTAAACAATTCTTTAAACTCTTGGACGTTGATTGAAGAATAACAGATTGCGTTAAAAATCTAATTTAATTCCCAAAAAAGCAGGTTTTAAATCAAACTTTAACAATATTTGCGCATATTGTGAACGCTTAAGGCTTTCTTAAGTCGCTTTGGAGTCTCGCCGTTAAAAGTTGATTTTTTTGGTCTGAATTTGAAGGTGGAAAAAATCAAAATTAATCTTTTAAATTGACCGGATGATCGGCCTAATGTAATTTCTAGATGTCTTTCAGTCAACTTTTGTAAACTTCTGGGCCGATTTTCCCGGCTTTTTGCAGTCTTCAAGTCGATTTCGAATGGCGATAGTTTAAACGACTAAACCAGATTGATCGGCGTAGAAATTTAAATGGAATTTACAATTTTCTACTTTTTATTGCAAATTCTAAATGTTTTCAGTCAACTTTTGCAGTTTTTTTTTGCGATTTTCCCGCGTTTATGGAGTCTTTGATGTCGATTTAGGATCATAATCTTCTAAACGATGGAACCAGATAAATACTTAGAGTTTCAAATAGAGTTTGCGATTTTTCCTAATTTTTTAGGAAAAAATGTGTTTCTTTTTAAAAGTTCTTTTTAAATTTTCCAACTTTCATTCATAGAGTCTTTGAAGTCGATTTACAATGAGAATCTTCTAAACGCTAAAACCAGAATGATCTGTTAGAATTTTAAATAGAGTTTGCGACTTTTCTCATTTTTAGCGTAATTTCTAAATGTCTTTCAAGGCAATTTTATAAAGTTCTTTTCCAATTTTCCGGCTATTGTCTATTGAGTCTTTGAAGACGACTTTGAAGGAGAATCTTCCAAAGTATTAAACCAGACTGATCGACTTCGAATTTTAAATTCTTTGTGCATTTTTTCGTGAAATTTCGAAATGTCTTTCAGTCAACTTTTGTAAACTTTTCTCCCGATTTTCCGGCTTTTTCCTATTAAGTCTTCAAGTCGATTTTGAATGGCAATAGTTTAAACGATTAAACCAGATTGGTCGACTTAGAATTTTAAACGGAGTTTGCGATTTTTTCTAATTTTTACAGTAATTTCTAAATGTGTTTCAAGGTAATTTTGTAACGTTTTTTTCCAATTTTCCGGCTATTATCTAATGAGCCTTTGAAGGAGAATATTCTAAAAGATTAAACCCGATTGATCGACGTCGAATTTTAAGCTCTATGTGCAATTTTTTCGTGAAATTTCTAAACTTTTTTTCCGATTTTCCCTATTAAGCCTTCAAGTCGATTTTGAATCGCAATAGTTTAAACAATTGAACCAGATTGATTGATTCAGAAATTTAAATAAAATTTGCAATTTTTTTAAAATTTTTGTTGCAATTTCTAGATGTCTTTCAGGCAACTTTTTTCTTTTCCAATTTTCCGGCTTTCATCCATTGAGCCTTTGAAGTCGATTTGGAATTTTAAACAAAGTTTGCGATTTTTTCCATTTTTTACAGTAATTAATTACAGTAAATGTGTTTCAAGGTAATTTTGTAAAGTTTTTTTCCCAATTTTCCGGCTTTCATCTATTGAGGCTTTGAAGACGATTTTAAAGGAGAATCTTCTAAGCGATTAAACCAAATTGCTTACGACTTTTTACGACAGTTTTAAATGGAGTTTGTGATTTTTTCTTATTTTTATAGTAATTTCTAAATGTCCAAGTCAAGGTTGTAAAGTTCTTTTCCAATTTTTCCGCTTTTATCTATTGAGTCTTTTAAGACGACTGACCAGATCGATGGACTTAATATTTTAAATGAAGTTTGCGATTTTTTCTAGTATTTTTAGAGTAATTTTTAGATGTCTTTTAGTCAACTTTTGCAGATTTCTTTTCGTTTTCCGGACGTTTATCTATTGAGTATTTGAAGACGGTTTTGAATCGACTTAGAATTTTAAATTGCATTTGCATTTTTTCAAATTTTTCGAGTAATTTTTAGATGTATCTCAGTCAACTTTTGTTAGATTCTTTTCCGATTTTCAATCTTTCATCTATTCAGTCTTTGAAGTCGATTTTCAATGAAAATCGTTTAACCGATAAAACCAAATTGATTACCTTAGAATTTTAAATTTCATTTGCAATGATTTTTTTTCAATTCAACTTTTATAAAGTTTTTTTCCTATTTTCCGGCTTTTTCCAATTGAATTTTTATCTACTGAGCCTTTGACTTTGTATGAGAATCTTCTAAAGGATTAACCCAGATTAATCAACTTAGAATTTTCGATTTTTTCTAATTTTAGGGCTACTTTCTAGATGTTTTTCATCAACTTTTGTAAAGTTCTTTTCCAATGATGCGGCCTTCTCCTATTGAGTTTTTCAAGGCAATTTCCAATGGCAATCGGGCAAGGTCCGATTTCCAATGGCAATCGGACCAAAAATCGCGTTACAAATATTTCAAAATTTCTCAAAAAAATCAGGTTTGAAATTGAATCTCAACAATATTTCAGAAATTGTTTAACGTTTAACTTACAAAATTATTACTCTTTGCGGTTCAACCATTTTTTTTTTGGCTTTCTGCAGCTTATTCGCGTTAATTCGATTATTTGCTATTTTTAACTGTTGGAATTAAAGTGCTAATCTATTAATTTATCTAATCAACCGATCGAAAAAATAAAAATTCTCAATCAATATTAAGGCATTTGCAAATTGATTGGAGTTTGGCAAATTTTGTTAAATAATTTTTTAATTGCCGTTCAAATCGTGTTAAGTTTAAAGTTTTTCAAGTCCATTTTCAACATTTCTTTATCGAATTTGCAATGTAAACCGCTTTTCGACTTAGAATAAAATTCAAGCTGTCCATCTAATTTAAAGCTTGAAAGAATTAAAATTCACAATAATTGAAGAACGCTTTGCAAGTTGAAGAGAGCTGCGAAAGTCGCATTAAAAAAACTGTATCAAATAAGTTCTGAAAAAATCGGATTCAATTAAAAACAAAAGTATCGTATTATTTCAGCTGCTAAAAAAGTTATGTCTGGTTTATGATGTACCTTTTGTCCTCTTTGTATTTGTAACTGCAGATGATTGTCTATTAAAAACGTATTTACATTTTCTAAATTCGTCCGGTTATAATGGAGCTAAAATATAACGTCTAACGCAGCAATTTTCCAGCTTTACCCTGTTTCTCAGAAACAACAGCAAAGACCAATTCTGGAAAAAGGCGCGCTTCATTTTTTTCTCAAAAATTGAGCTCAAAGCACCAAAGTTGCCCATCCAGTGCTTCGAGTCCCTCTTTGAGGCCTCTAAATCTGAACTAATTAAAAAAAAACAACCACTAAGATTAGACATAATGTATTGTCTTTAGTACAAACGTTTACATGTTCATAAAATTCTGATTTTGGAATTTTCTATGATTACTTACAAGAAGTACAGTTTTCTGGGGGTTATGAAGAATAGAAAAAGCCTTATTTCATCTATGTTATACGATAAATATGATTTGTGCTGTGGTTACTCAATAGTTAATGGGTCACATTCAATAAAAACAACCCACACAAATGGAATGGGCGCACAAAAGAGCGACAAAACGTCCAGCAAATTGTCGGGTTCAAATCGGTATGATAATGATGCCAAAAAAACCAGCAACAAAGATGAGATTGCGTCGCTGTTTAGCGCGCCCACCATTAAGTTCTAAACGAAACTTTTGCGAAATTTATTACAAAAAAACAATAGTTCTACATGAACGTATAGATAGTCCAACCAAAAAAAAACCAATGGGAAACTTTGTTTCAGAAAATGACATTCTTGATAAAACGCCGACTTTGCAAACAATATTCGGACCAAAAGAACCATCTGGATTTTGGAGTCATATGAAGACATCCCCTCAGCCTCCCAATACTCTATGTGCTTAACACTACTTAATCCAAAGAGTTTGCAAAAAACACTCTCATTACTGTTGCCCGCAACATTCCGGCTAATAAAACAACTACATGGATTCGCATCAGTAGATGGGAGTGTTTTTGGAGGCAATTGAAGTCTCGAGGCCCTCAAATGTGCGTTCTTTGTGCCGTAAATTTGTGTAAAAATTTCTGCAAGTTTCATTAATCACAATGTGTAAACAACGTAAACAGGGAGGTTTTGAGTGTCGATTTCCACACTGTTTGTTGGCGGAGACAATATGGCACGAGCTTTAATGAAAATTGCACTCAGAAGGGGCGCATGCTCGCTAAGCGTGCAAGGCGCAGGCCTAGAACCTGCGTTTGAACACCGACCGACCCAGAAACAAACAGATTTCATAGAACATTTTTGCCCGATTTCATCTCGAATTAGGCATGAAATTGCCAAAAATGACCGAATTAGTTCAGTAGAGGAATGATGAAGAACAAATTTTAAATGGAAGTCAACTTTGTCGCTTTCTAAGCTGCTTGCCGAATATCTCGGTTTTAAAATACCGAATTATTAGAAGCTATTGCTTAAGTTACTCGCGAACTTTTGCGAATTTTTTCTTCACTAATTTAAATGCAGCTTCTCTACTGAAAAAGTGATTACTCTACGACTACTAAATGCGTGAAAGAAGCAATTGTTGCAGAGCACGCACGAACTGTTCGCTATTAAACACGGTTTTTACGCTTTTCTATCGATCTGAGCAGAGATGAAAAGCCACATAAAATTGCGAACTTTATTGTCCGCTTTGTGGGTTTTGCTACTATCGTGTTCGATTTGTTCGCGAAGGTTCGCTCAAATCAGATTTATATTTTCCTTTCATCAATTCCAATTCCGTTCCCCTGTCGACTTGAGCAGAGGTACAAGCGGTAAAAAACTAAGAAGTTCAAATTTTAGTGCCTTGTAGTGTATAAGAAATTCACGTTTTTATCTATTTTGAGTATGGTTCAACACGATCTTTCGCGAAGTCTTCGACTTCTCTTCTTGTGTTCTTCTGCTACTATAAAGATCTGCTGAGCCCGAGAGTTTGCTCGCGAACGTTTGCGAATGAATCAAATGGACTTCAGGGTCTAATTTCAGATTCAAAACCGGCACTAATCAGTTTGGGTTAATAGGTTTGGGCTAAACTGTGGCTTGTGAGGTTTTTTCAAGACGATCTTTCCCCGGCGTCGATGAAAACGTAGCAAAACTCAAGATCTGCCAGTAAATAGTTGGGATGAACACGTTTTGTACGCGAAAGTTCTTTGGCTTGCCAGAACTGTTAAGCATTTTAAACTCATCAACACCTCTAAACAATTTCAGAGCCTCTTGAGGCATTCTTCTGGTACTAAGTGGGCGAAGAAGAAGCAATTGTTGAAGTTCCGCTTCAATGCGTGAATTTAAATACAGTTTCTCTATCGATCTAAGTTGATATTAAACAACTGCAAAAATGCAAACTGGGTACATTTTTGGATGCTTTTAAGGCTTTTCTTTACGCGAACAAAGTGATCACTACTTTACGATGACTAAAGTCGATAAAGAGTGAATATCCGCCATTAAACTGTTCTGATTAGCGAACTCGTTTTGTTCGCGAATGTCCTTTGGCCTCGAACGTTTGCGAATGCTTTTCAAAGCCGGAACCTTTAACGAGTTTAAACTCAGATACCAATTCTCCCTCAACCTGAGCAACGACGATTGGCTCGCGAACATTCACGGATGAACCAACTGTATTTCAGAGTCTAATTTTCGGTAGTCCAAACTCGGTAGACGAGCAGCAATTGCACTAAAAAGTTCGGACGAGCACACACGAGTTGTTTGCGAACGTTCGCGAATGTTTTCCAAAACCAATGGGTTTTTAGTTCAGCGTAAGGTTTGCTTGAACGACTGTTCTGGTGGGTTAACTATGATGAAATTATCCATATTGACTCCGCCCACAAAGATGTAGATGGCAGGTGGTTGGTTCAGAATGTGTCCTGATCATGGTTCCGCTTGAATTACATAGACAACATAGAAACACTGGAGCTGCTCGATATTTGCGGTTTAAAACTGGCTTGAAATGAACGTCGAGAAGAAGAGAACTGAGTAATTTGTGCTCGGTGATTACATCAAAATATAAACAATATAAACCAAGACTGTTGATCGAACTGGTAAATAATAGCAAATGTAATCCGTAGGTGGAAAACTCTTTATATGTAGTATGTACACAGTAGGTTGTTGAGATGTGTGCAAAACCATCGATTTCATTTTGGGAAGTTCAATTTGTTGGTTTCGTCTATCAATAATGCACTAAATTTCATCAAAAATGGTATTTTCATAGCAATAATTAGTAATAAAAACGTTTTCCATTTGCTGTCGACTTTATGGACCACCATTTATACAGCGACAATGAATTTTGTGGTCGATAAGACGCAAAAGTAGACAGAGGAGAGTCCGGTCTGTATAAAAAAATGGCACATCAAGTGAAGCACAACTTGACACAGATTACATATAATAGACAGTTAATTAGTTCTTCACAATAAATGTTCACTTGTTCTACGCCGTCGAACCGTCATCGTTTCACTCAAAATGGGACGATACTTAAGCCGATCACCTTAATTTAAAATAAAGTAACTCTAAACCAGATTATACTCGCGCAAGTTCGACTGTAGGATTGTATCTTTGACGGCGGCAAACACAAACTTTATATTCTCAGTGTCAGTAGCACAGGTAAAGTGAGAGTAAATAATTTTTTCACTATCCGGATTTAGGTCGACGAACATTCTTAAAATAAATTCTCTAGCTGCTATGGCGTCGCGCTGAGGGCCATCGTATTCAGGGAAATAATCGACCAAGTGGGAATACATAATTTTTTCTTCTAGAAGATCTTTCTTATTCAAGAACAGTATAACCGAAGAGTGCTGGAACCAAGGATAGGTAATAATTGTTTTAAACAGGGCTTTGGACTCTTCCATGCGATTCTCGTTCTCCGACTCGAACAAAATCTGGTCGTACTCGCTCAGTGCCACCAAAAAGATAATGGAAGTCACATTTTCGAAGCAATGAATCCATTTCCTTCTCTCGGACCTTTGCCCGCCCACATCGACCATTCGAAAAATAATGCTGTCTAGATCGAAGGGGTATTCGATTATGCCCGTGGTTGGGGCGCGCGCCCTCAATATGTCCTGTTCGGTAGGCAAGTAGTCTGGCGCCCTTATTCGCTCCAAGTCGCTCAAATAGTATTTAGCGGAATCGGTCAATTGGTATTCTCTACGCCGATCGTAGCATTCCTGTATTCCCACGTCGTTCCACAAGTCCCTTATGGCTTCGACGAATGGGCTCTCGAACGTGGTTACCGTCTCGTAATCAATGTTCTTAATCAACTCGGCCTTGTCGCGACTGGTACCATCCCCGTACTGGATCTTAAGCAGATCCATCGCTTTGATCATGCTCTGCATGGCCATGAAGATGTTCTGGTAAACCAGCTTAATGAACGATCTTTTGTCGTCGTCCGAGTACCCGGCGCCATGGATAATGCGCATCTGCTTGATAAACGTCGATTTGCCAGACTCACCGGTACCCAACAATAGCAGTTTGAGCTCCCTGCGCGCATCTCGCTTATCTCTGCGCAGTTGCTTTTCAATTTCCGCGTTAATTCGCTCCTGCTCACGCGCCTCATCCGATTGACAACACTGCGGGCACTGCATGGTCATCGAATTTTGCTTTTGCGGCCTTTACTTTACCAATCTTCTCTAGCTGAGGCTTAGCAGTGCACTTTTGGGGCCCAGACGACCTTTTTTCTTGAACAAAAGAGAAGAGTGTGTTAATTTAAATCCACTACGTAGCCCAACTATTATTAGCATTAAACAGAAAATGAAGAGGGGGTCAGACACATAAATGCTTCGTTCGGGTGGTGGATATATGTATAGACAAAAGGCGGGGGAGGATGAGCAGCACTTTCGGATGCGGCGGGGCCCAATGAGTTTGCTTATTTTTGCGTTCGGGTACTGTTAAATCTGGATCTAGAACAGCGGTTAAAACAAACAGACAAAACAAAACAAACGGGATGTTTGAAAAACACAAAAAGCGTTTGAAGCGAACTGGCTTGATGTAGGTATATGATGATGGTGATAGTGAATATTATTGTGTTATGAGACTGTGAAAACACACGACAACCACAAACATCAACTACTAATCAACATTCTTACGAATAAACTGACGCCGCCATTTCGTTCTTCACTATGCAGCGTGGCCAATTTCAGGCCTTGCTGCCAAAGTCGTTGAAAAAAGTTGTACTTTTGCTTATACCGAAAGCAGACGCCAAGTCGCTTATTCTACATGGATCGCTCTGTATATTACTATAAATCTACGTTCTCTCAAATATTCTGGACACCTTTTCTGTGCAAAGTGTATCCACATATCCAAGGGCTCCGGAAAAATTTGCTATTTATTGCAATTAATGGCAAAATATCCCGCACAGGGAATTTGCAGTCGTGAAATAATCAAGTCCTACTTTCATATCGGTGATTTCTTTAAAAATATATAGGTAATATTAAATTTGCCATACATTTACTTTGAATTTCTTATATTTGAATGCACATTATTCCTCATTAATAACGACATGAATTTCGTCGGTAATATCCGAACAAGAAATAATGTAAAATAGTGCAAGCTTCGAGGTTTGCCAATCTCAGGCACCCCCAGAACCGTTACATCTTGGTAATAGGGTCGAAACTGGTCCTGGGGGTGCCTGAGGTTGGCGATCCTCGAAGCTTGCACTATCCTACATTATTCCTTTTTTAATGTTAATTTTAACGCTAAAGCAAAGCCAATTACACTTCCTTACACAAAAGAAACAACTGTTAATTTAATTCCGCATGAAACGGTTTAAAACATTTTACAAATCCAACAAAAATGTACTTCACTTTTTTTCGGAAACTATCATCGAGTTTGTTTTTCTTTTAAATCCGGTCCTGGTTGTTTCCTAGCCAAAGCAAATAAACTGTTCAACAAAATAATCGTTACAGAGCCAAATTTGCGCTACCTTTGGAACTGTTTATTTAATTTGTTAACTTCAGTTTAAAGCCTTTTCTAGTGTAATTGTTTTTCAGTCAGTGAGTGTTTTTGTTAAAGTTCCTACGAGGTGGAACATGAAACAACACTGAATTTCTGAAAATTCGGCGTGGTCCCAATTTGGAGAAATATTTTTTCGGATTTTTCTCGGAACTCAAAACGATTTTTAAATTTTTAAATCTTTTACGTACAGGGCCAGCTCAAAAAAGCAACTTCTTAGTCTTGCAATAATAACATTTTTCATATTGAAACTAACACTTCATAGGTGACTTAAGACGAAAATCCGATATACAGGGTTGCATCATTAAAGGGATTGTTTGAAAGTGAAGTTCACTTTAATTGAAGCCCTGCCAGAATCCGAGATTTCGAAGGCAGTTCTGATTTGGGTCACTTTCAATGCAACCCTGTATATTGAAGTTTTATCGTCAGTCGACTATGAAGTTTTAGCTCCAACAAGAGCTCTACATTTTGAAAATCGCTCCAAGTGGAAAACAGTTATCCCAGCCAAACCAAAGAATTGATTCTTTTGAACACCCTCTAAATACAAGAGATAGGCGAAAAATGTGTCTTTCTTTGTGCCTTTGGTGTTGGAAGTCAATGAACATATTTTTTCTGCAACTGCGATCATGAAAAACGTTCAGTTAATTCGCATTTTAATTTCTAACTTGTAGGAATTTCACCTGAAGCGCAAAATAAAAAAAAAAACATTGTCTTCAACAGAAAACCAATGCGGCTAAGTAACGCTGCAAACAGAAATGAAATGGCTCACAGCAATCAAAATTTTCGTTTTTAGTTCGTTTTTTTTGTTTTGAGTTTGAATCCGCATAAAAAGTTTTTTCACCAGAAACCACCATGAACTTGCGCTACTTTTAAATACGGTCCTGTTTGTTTCCATCAAAAGCCAATAGTTCCAATCCAAAGCCGACTTAAAATATATTAACATTTAATTATGTTTTTAACCGTTTCTTCAAGTTCAATATAGAATTGTATAGCAGTATCTTAAGATTTGCGTGAACTATTTAAAAACATAAAATGTTATCTTTGCCACCCTGTATCTCAAAAAGGAAGCCGGTTTCGATATATATTTGTATGATATTTTTATCTGAAAATTTGGTTTTCTATCGACCGTTAAGGTCCTGTTATTATAAACTGACTCATCCGGTATAAATTGGTCAAAATATTGAAGAAAATGCATTGTTTAAATATGCCTAAATTCCCGATTTTACATGCTAAAGCCATTAAAACCGGAACAATTTTGTTGGTTTAACCGACTGGTTATTTCCTGTAATAAGCAAGCAAGGAGAATAGTTGGACCTTTGGCAAGTTTCCCTCATACTTGGGACACAAAAACGCATTTTCTTCTGCTGTTTTTCAGTCAAAGGCAGACATTTTCCTTTATGCACTGGGGGCACAAAGCGTGTTTCTCTATCAGTGAGTTATATGACCACTTACGCAGACCACTGTATATTTCACTGAATAAATGTCGATGCAGCAAGTAATGACTATATAAGCTGTGCATTCGGCATAAGGAAATCAGTCTTAAGTTAGTAGGACAAAGTGTAACATCTCGTTGTTGTAAAACACACTTTTGATTCGTAATAAACGGTTTTTTAAAAACAAGTTTTTTACAATCAGAAACAAAATTAGTGGTTAAATATCGTCCTTCAGAATATTTGCCGCAGGTGCAACCGAAACGTTTCCTTCGCCGTCTATAAACTCACAATCATGTAAACAGGGTGTTGTTGCAAAAAACGTCCTCACATAGAAGAACAACTCGTTCTGATTTGAACCACTTTTGCCCAATAAAAATGCGCTAAATAAAGTGAAAGTTTCAAAACATTCATGAAATTCTCCGGCATTACCAAAACTGTTCTTGTTAGGTTAAGTGCGACATAGATATTTATCCATTTCAACGCCCTCGGTTCAAGGTGCTACTGGAGGAATCTTGTGAAACCACCGAGAAGACAAAATGTGCAAAAAGTGTTCGACTTTTACCTAAAAATTAAACATTTTTTGCTTATTTCAATGCAAATTATATGCGTTTGGCCAAGGGACCCTTGATGGTTTTACTCTTGACTAAATAATCAGTCAGTTATCGCTTTCGGGTCTTAAACACTGTCTTGAAAATATCAGAAAAAATTGTTTGAGCCCCGAAATTTTTTTATTTTATATTTGTTTCTAATTGAATTCATGCTTATTCTTTGTAAGAAAATAGAAAAGTGGAATTGGAAAAACATTTAAATTGAAATTACACCGGATAACAGTCCAATTGTTATGTCCATGTTTAGTTTCATGTAGGCGCTGACCTCTGCACTTGCCTGTATCTAAAATCCCATTATTACAGGGCCTATCAGGACGTCTTGTTAAAAATAATTGCGGAATTGCACACTTTTGACGAATTCATATGGAATTTGTGTGAAAAAATTGCAGTGGAAATATCAGGCTTTTGCAACTAGGCAATTGCTGAGTGCAACCCAAAAACTTCTACTAAAATCTATTTTAAATAGTTGACTGGGCCAGATTGAAGCCTGCATGTAAAGCAAATATTCTTCAGCAAAGGGTCTGAATCATCAGCCAAACTTCCATCATTAATCTTTTCGTCACAAACTACTTAATTTTTGCTCGGAAGTTCTTTCAAAGGTTTAATTTCCTTGTACTCTTTTCCCAAGATTTTAAGCCCATTGCTGCCATCCAAAGCGTAAGTGAACTCTGTTTTAAACAGTGAATTTTCAAACTTACTCGTCTTCAGAGGAGAAAGTCTACATTTAAACCATCAAGCAATCTTCCACTCTCATCATCTTCATCTTCAATTGTGTTTACTGTCTTAATTTAGTTTCAATATCCCTCCGTTTGGACTCGCAAGCTCTTTGAAACATGTTAAAGTTCTCACAGGGTTTTTGTATAGGTATAGTTCAGGTTCCAATGTTAATGTGTGTGTTTAGTTTTCATCATTTCGCCCGTCAATGTCAAACAGTTTAAAATAAATTTGACTACGATATGCAAACCTTGTGACCTGACTCATTCTTTTATGGAATTTCGACTATTATCTTTATGCCTGATAATGTTGTTTAATCCCTTTACAACTGACAAGAGAAGTGTTTTTGGCGAAAAAATGGGCAACATCTGGCTAAAACCGTGGATGAATCCATTAAAAAACCAAACCGCAAATTAAGTACCTACTTCTTTGTCATAACAGGAGTAATTGTAAAATAGGCCAATTAGTAAAACCGGTGAGTTTGTCGAGCTTTTAGGCCGTGCTGAAAATAGTTTTTTGCAGAACGTTTTGCAAGCACAAATGGCTTGCATCTTCAGATGTGGTGGCTGCAACGAGCAAACAATGGGTCTCAATAGCGAAAGGCTTCCAGGCTTATTTTAAATTATTCATTTGTCAACAATCCTTAATTAAGTTTAATAAAAATCCTAGTTTTCTCTTTCTGAATGTCCACCTTTCAAACTCTGAAGATTAGAGGAATGAATCAAACATGCAACAACTACCTATGTTCCCCCAGACCTGTCTACCTTTATACCTTGGTCTAAGTATCTCTAAAAGCATCTACTTTGGGGGGTTTTTGAACTTATTGGCCAAGTGCCAGTAGATAAGTATTATTATTGTATCAAGGCACTTCTCTATCTATAAGCTTGAGGACCCCAAATATTAAGCTAGAAAACTGAATTTTCAATCATTGCAAACAAATAAGCCCGATTACTCTGATGCCCACTAGGTGATCATTTAAAAACATCTTATTAATTGCCGATACCTTGGCGGCTTGGGTAAGCAGGCAATAAACTGCTTAATAGACCCAGTGCGATCAGGATCATCAGGTTTCTGTGCACTAATGAAAGGTTTTCTTATTGAAGTTGAACCAAGAATGCCAAATATTTGAGCCAAACTCAAACCATGAGTCACCAGGTGGAGTTTCAAGAAATTTAGGCAGTTTTCCTTGGAAATATCCACTAGGTTTTGGCTGCATCCTTGATCAAAAAGTTCCACTATGGGAGTGCCTAATCAGGCTTCACTAGAATCACTTGTTTTTTAGTGGTTTTACTCGATGCAAGCGTTAGATACAACACGAGTCGCGAGATATGTTAATCAGTACCCCCCAGTGATGAATTTTCTAGCATCTAGCACAGGTTGATATTAAAACACTAGCTGAGCAGGAGATGTAGATGTTTAGCATTCAGGTGTGTGTGTATTTGGACAAATAATGCGAATATATTTACCTTGTGCTTCGATGCGAATGTTGCCTGAAGTTATTTCTATCTCGGTGGCTGCGAGAACGTCTGGATCTTGAACTATTCTCAGACTTTATAGATTCAGTTTCCATGATACTAACACTTTCATTACCCATAAAATAGCTCCGAAAGGTCGCCGAATAGATGCACTCATGGATTCCAACTTCCCAATCGCAGGAATACCTGCTTTTCACCAAATTATTGGGAGTTCATTGACTCGCTTGATGAGGTGTTGACGTTATGTAAACATTGCTCGAATTTTCAATGATAGATCGGTCCAAATCGCACCACACTAGACGCGGCACGGTCCCGATAAACTGCGGAACCGATTTTACTCACTCAATTCCTATTTTAAGCCATTTCAATGGGAAAATGCAATTAAATATTTCTCAATGAAGTGCTCAACATGGCGGACGTTGTTCGTAGCCGGTTGACAGCCGATCGATGATAGCTGTCAACTCGGGACTTTTCGTGAAAGATCACCAGCCGATCTGGCGCGCGAGCGGCTGAACGGGTGCGCGGAACACTCGATCGAGCACTAGGTATCAACTGTGCTGCACCGCCAAATATTAAGCAGTTATAATTGAAAATCCCCAACAAATATTTGCCTTTTTCAGTTGAAAATAGTTCTAGAAAAATTCGATTTATTTCTGAAGGCCAATTCAGCCATAAGCAGTGAGTCTATTAAAAGTAAAATTATTAACAATGCACTGGAAAACCTTCAATGAATTGCTAAAAGTTGTCCTCATTTTTGTTATAGCAGCAAAAAAATCCGGGATTTTTTAAAAAATAAGGCACACTTTAATGCATCAACTGCTCTGCTAAGCATCCAAACCAACCAGGTACGAAAAGTGCGCTCCAACTGGCGCTGGATCAGTTCGGAACTGCTCCCAAATAGACGCCCCTTTGCTTTCGCTCTGAATTCGAGCTCGAATTGACCGTTCTTGCGGTCTTCAGCTATAGCTCAGACTACACACGACGATTTTATCGCGCAAATTTAATTCAAATGAACAGAGCGAAAAAATCCAATGGCGCCCGGTTGCGACCTGATCATAGAACAAGACTTAAGGACCTGATAAGCCTTGTTCTATGGACTTGATCCAGTGGAATTTCCGTGCAAAAGCGCGACAAAGAGCTTACATGTAGATGCGTCCTTTTTCAATAATCAGTGCAGCTCCCCACCTGAATGACTTCGCCCACTGCGCGTTGCAGTGTGCGTAGAACCAGAAGCTGCGCACTTGATTATAACGCCGCAGGGGGCGCCAATGAACATCTGAAATTGATGACAGGCTATTGACACAACCTCACTTTTCCTTTTATTGCTAAGCATCTATTATTAGTTCGGCGAGTTTCGTTTGGTAAGTTTTAAATCACTTTTGCTCCATATTTTGTTTAATTAAGGCGTAGTTTCAAGAGGGGTTGACCTAGTGAATGTTCAGCGATTTGTATAATGCGCAGCAACGCAGCCTTTCAAGGTCATTTTTCTTGCTAAAATTGCCGAGTTTCGGGTTTATTTTGCTAGCTAGAGAGCTGGCCCTTGGGGTCACATGATAGTTTAGCACCTGATTAGGGCGAGATGTGCTTGCCAATGGTAATTTTTATAAATATGCGTTGCAATGTGCAGTTGTCTTATCTCCGCAGTGCATTTGTGCACAGTCATGTACCTACTATTTCACCTCTATTCTGGGCTCCTTGAGGTTATCTGATTCGTGGCCTGAGAAGTTGAATGTAAACCTTCTTTCACTGTAGTAACCGTAGGCATGCAATTAATTTAATTAATACTCTGCATGTTACATCAATTTGCGTAATTCAAGGCCCGATTGCGCTGGAAGTTAAAACAGATTTTTTACCAGTTTTCTCTGGTTGATGAGGTTTGCAATTTTTCCATAAGAAAACAGGCCACCCATTTTCATGCACATTGCAAACTATTGGGAAACAAGTTGCCAAAGTTCCACCAAATGGATGGATTTCCGTTTTTTGGAGTTGGAAGCTTAACGTTATTAAAAAGGCACAAGAATCAGTTTGTTGGAAAATTTACGAAAACTGAAAAATCAACCACAACTAACCTAAATACCTACGAAATGTGTTAAAAACTATTTCTATGGCATCAAAGGCTTCTAATCGGTCGTCGTTTTCACTTGTAGCTTGAACGTAGGTGCAATAGGTATCCCCATCACATAAATTATTTTCTAACAATATTTACGTGACGCTCTATCTCTAGTCTAGGGACAAGGCATCTGGCAAAGCCCTAAATTTTGCCTTGAAATTAGTATCAGAAAAAGCGCATCAGTTTTCGGGCCGGGATTATTACGCCGTGCACTCCCGAAGTCTCTCTTACATCGATAATAAGCCACTGAGCTCCCAAGTTTTTGCAGCTGAATTTGAAACAATAATGAAGACTAAGAAGAAAAACCCAGTTGCATCCCATAAGCGCTTTGGTAGAATACACGAAATAAGTGTGTGTGTGTATTGTGTTTTTTCTCACGACTTTGGTTTATCTGTGTTTGTGTTCTTCTAGATTATCAGCAACTGAAATCTCATCTCAAACCTGCATAGAAATGGCAGCAGAAGCAGCAGATGATGCAAGAAACGCAATTAGCAGATTTTTCAATAATATTGGAAAATCCGACGCGACCAAACAAGTGATTATTGGGGCAGTTTCCGGATTTGCCACCGGTTTTATTTCGGCCAAGGCCGGAAAAACGGTGGCTCTTTCCGTTGGAGGCGGCATCATCATTCTGCAAGTGGCAAACGATCAGGGCATCATCAAAGTGAACTACAATAAAGTTAATAGGAAAATTGATAAAGTGGCGGACAAAGTGGAAGAGGTTCTAACTGGCCGTTCAGCCAGTTGGACCGATAAAGTGGTGAATTTCACGAAGAGAAATACTCCGTTTACTGTGGGCTTTGTTGGCGGCGTGCTCATTGGAGTGGGAATTTCCGCTTAAAGTTTAGCATCGGATGTACTTCCACTTAATCCAAATAGTATTTAACTTAAGTGAAAAACCCTTGTATGGTAGCATTCGAAAAATCATACTGTTTAGTATTAAAGCTTTAATGAATCTCGTGTAAAGCTGTGTTAGATCGCGCAATAACTTCCATCTGTTTTTATTAGCAAAACTGCCTTAGGTCAAATATGTATTTCTGTTCACGCTGTTTTATTTATTAAACATATTGGTCACCTAAATTAATTGCATTATTAAGTTTCTCAGCCCCATCATTAACTTTTAGCTCACAGTGTTAAAAAGACGCTTATGCCAGTGTCTTGTCTTCTAGTGCTCAACATAGACCAATGGGGGAAGCAGTTGATAAAGCAAAGAGCTTCATTTCAAGATACTTGGGCGATGTGGACAAATCGGACACGACCAAGCAAATCCTAATAGGAGCCGGATCCGGTTGGATTTCCGGCTATTTGACCATGCGTGTGGCCAAAACGACCGCATTTGCGGTCGGTGGCGGCATAATACTGCTCCAACTGGCCAGCGAAAGAGGATTTATCAAAGTAAACTGGTCCAGACTGAGCAAGAAGCTGGAAAAAGTGGTTGATCGGGTGGAGAGCGAGATCAGCAATCAGGATCGCGCCTGGACCGACAAAGTGATGGATTTTTTCAAGAACAACACCCCGTTTACTTCGGGATTTGTCGGTGGGTTTTTGATTGGAACTGCTACTTAGATGCGCAACTCTGGACGTATTCAATATTTAAATAAACATGTTTATTTGAGTAGAGAAGATGAGTCTGTTTTGAAACCAAAACACGGAAATTTTTTTTGAGTGTTTAACTGAGTGTATGTGCATGAATAACATTGATAAAAGGGCAGCTGAAAAACTACCTGATGATGCCGTTTTATTAGAACAGTCGCCAAAAATCAGCATCATTCAATAGCTATTCACAAATAGCCTGATGATGAGTCAAACGTGAAACACACAGTACTTTTTCACCATTCCAGAATGTTTTCGCACAGAACGCACTTTGCCGTACAAAAAAAAGCGGAAATTAATTTTTTGCTTTACTGGTGTCTGAGAAAGTTAGACCTGTAAAAGTAACGTCAAAATCAACAGCACATTTAAAAACTCCGCCAAAAATGGCTGTTGATGAGTCAAAATCGAATCTTCTTTCACATGCACAACCCATTTTTCCTTGCAAAATAATCCCGAAAGTGAATTTGCACCTTTGATAGTTTTTGAGAAAATAAATGAGAAACAGGGCTGGCAAAGGAGCGCAAAATTCAAGAGCGCATTTAAAAAACCTCAAAAATTTCCTGATAATGAGTCAAAATCGAATCTTTTTCCACATAGAGATCGCACTTGGCATTACTAAAACAAACCGAAAGTGAATTTCCAGCTTTACTGCTTTCTGAGAAAATAAATGTTAGACTTGGCCCTGCAAAATCAATGTCAAAATTCAAAGGAACATTAAAAAACTCTTCAAAAATAGCCTGATGATGACTCAAAATCGGAACATCGCATACATGCAAACGTCGCTTACAAAGTTAACCTGTTTTTGAGCAAATAACTCTGAACCTCCGTCTTGCATAAACAATCGCGCAAACTACAAGCAAAAGTTTGAAAAAATCCCGAAAATTCCCTGAAGATGAGTCAAAATCGAAACGTTTTGCACTAGTAGAAATGGCTTTGGCCTGTAAATGTGTTTTCAAACGTGATCTTTTAACTTTTCAAGTTTCTGAGCAAATAAATGTCGCTCGACGACCTGCTTAAATATCCCCGAAAATCACATGGAAAGTGGAAAATTCTTGAAAACTGCCTGATGATGACTGACAATCGAAACGCTCGGCAATTTTTGAACAAACTTTTCTGACAGAGAAGATGAGTCTGTTTTTGTTTAACTGAGTGTATGTGCATGAATAACAGATTGATAAAGGGGCAGCTGAAAAACTACCTGATGATGGCTTTTTATTAGAACAGTCGCCAAAAATCAGTTCCATTCAATAGCTACTCAAAAATAGCCTGATGTTGAGTCAAACTTGAAACTGCTTTCACACAGAACGCACTTTGCCGTACAAAAAACAGCGGAAATTAATTTTCTGCTATACTGTTATCTGAGAATATTAGACCGGAAAAATAAAACGTCGAAAACCAACAGCACATTTAAAAAATCCGCAAAAATTAGCAGATGATGAGTCAAAATCGAAACTTCTTTCACATAGACAACTCATATTTTTCCTGCAAAATAATCCCGAAAGTGAATTTGCACCTCTGGTAGTTTTTGAGAAAGTAAATGAGAAACTCAGGCCTGCAAAAGGAACGCCAAAATTCAAGAGCGCATTTACAAAATCCTGAAAAATTTCCTGATGATGAGTCAAAATCGAACTTTTTCCACATAGAGAACGCACTTGGCATTACAAAAACAAACCGAAAGCGAATTTCCTGCTTTACTGGTTTCTGAAGAAATAAATGTTAAACTTGGCCCTGCGAAAGCAATGTCAAAAATCAAACGCACATACAAACTCCTCAAAAATAGCCTGATGATGAGTCAAAATCGAAACTTTTGTCACTTATAGAACGCATTTAGCCCTACACAAAGCAGGCGAAATGCTGTTTTTTTGCGAAAATAATTGCCAAACCTAACCGAGCATAAACAAGCATATAATTCTATCGCAAATTTGAAACATCTTGAAAATTGTCTGATGATGTCTCAAAATCGAAGCCTTTGATAGTCATAAAACGCACTATTCCCAAGAAAATCCATGCGAACATCGCTTACAAATTTAACCTGTTTTTGACCAAACAACTCTGAAACTCCGGCATGCATAAGCAATCGCGCAAACTACAAGCAAAAGTTTGAAAAAATCCCCAAAATTCCCTGAAGATGAGTCAAAGTAGAAACGTTTTGCACTAGTAGAAGTGGCTTTCGCCTGTAAATGTGTTTTCAAACGTGACCTTTTAGCTTTTCAAGTTTCTGAGCAAATAAATGTCGCTCGACGATCTGCTTAAATATCCCCGAAAATCACATGGAAAGTTGAAAAATTCTTGAAAATTGCCTGATGATGAAATTTTTTAACCCACTCTCGCACCTGGTTAGTTTCTGCATAATTAAATGCCAAACTCTGGTATACGAAAACAGCGTTGCATACTCTGAAAAATCGTGAGAATTTTGTCGTTTAAAAATGGAAACTTTGTCCACTGATAGAAGCGACTTTGTCCGACCAAACACTTCGACCATAAGTTTTCTAACTTCTGACATTACAGAGAAATCGATGCTGAACCCCGAGCGCACTTCGTTCGAATTAGTTCGCATTAAGTAAAACGCAGGTTCCCATCGTTTGCAGTCCTTATGGAAACTGAATTATACGTGGCAAAATATATTGATGTTGGCAGATTTTCAATTAAATTCTGGCCGATTTGGCTGCTTTCAAGACCCCCAAGCCCTAATAAACCAAGTAAACACTCTGGGGCTTCTGAGGTTGGGACATAGAAAAACCAACTCGATCGCTGCGTGTTACAAACGTATTTACTAAAGCTTGCTTTACAATTAACTAAATTATCGAATGGGCGGATTTTGCGTTTGAGTTAAGTACACGTTCACTCGCTTTCCCTTTACATAGTTTTTGTGACATGAATCACACGTGGCAAGATGCGTTTTAAATAACCGATACACAGTGTTAATACTCGAAACCAACCTAATCGATGAAGTGAATTATTATTTAACTACTTACTTAAGTATGAAATTCTGGTGATTTTGGTCCTTCCCCCGAACAACAAACGTTCCTACAATCTAACGAGCATTCTTTGGTATACAAAAGTCTAGTTATAATTAAGCTACCCCAAACTCGGGCACATTCAACCAAACAAATTAATCCTTGATAGGTGAGAATTCTGAATGAAACCCGATAAGGAACGTTAAACAAACCTCACTCTAAAGCTACAGCAAACATCGTGTGCTTATACTAGTTCGTAATTCGAAACAATCTCTTATTTGGGTTGGGGCGTCATCGAGCGTCTGTAGGACGAGGACGAAGGCAGCCCTAAGGCCGGTGGCAGACTGGCAGTGGTCGATAAAGTGTTATCTTGAAGCAAAAAATCAGTTTATCATTTAAACTTAAAAAAATGCGATTTTTCACCTAGTTTTCTGGCTTCATGCTCCAAAAGCAGGGCATCCAAAGAAGGGTCTTGGGAAACAGTGCGCAAGGAATCGCCCAGAGCCTGCCTCAGCTGCTGCATCTCCCTGCCCGCTTTGGTGCTGCGCAGCACATACTGTTGCCTGCGCTTGATTTCTTCGTTCAGCTGCTCCCTCAACAACTTCACCTTGCAACAAACGGCAACGATTAAAAGACTTAGGCTATAGTCTAGAGTTTCCCATTTACTTGGCTTTCCAGGCGACTGACTTGCTGCCGATGGCTCTGCTCGCGGGCTTCCAGCAGTCTTTCGGCCTGCAGTTGGGCCGCCCTGTATCGCTCAATCTCGGCCCGGTCGAATTTTCCATCCAAGCTCGGTCTTTGGGTCCTCAGTCTGGCCAATTCCACTTCTTTTTCCGTCAGTTCTGGAATCCAATCTTTCAGAACCGGGATTTATAGGCGGTTAAAAGTGACTACCTGATTCCAGTCTGGAAACTCGCAGGCGCAATTCGCGGTTTTCCTGCTCATATTTGTCGATTTCGGTTACAGCCGAGTCACTTTCGTACTTATCCAAACGGTTGAACGACTTTTCCGCACGTTCGTAGGCCTTTTCGGGACGATCGTAGGATTTTTCAGGACGATCGTACAATTTGGGGCGCATGGAGGCGGCGGATTTTGAGGCCATGCGTTCCAGGCTTCGGTTTTCCGATTCCAATTGCCTCACCTGGAAATTAATGGTTTTTACTGCATGTAGTTGGTTGGTTCGAAAGTCAGTGGGTCAGTCAGTCTTTGTTTTTCATTGTTGATAAATTCAACATTCATCATTCGTATTGCTTGATGTGAGTGTAAACATTTTATTTTGCCCTAAAAAAAATCCCATTCACTTTTTACGAGATCAGTCGACTTGGGTTCTTTCCTGGGTCTCAGTCAAAGTGTGAAGTAAAAATTTTGAAACATCGTTTATTTCATTACGTTTCGGCGAGACAACAGCGTCCTCATCAGATTTAAAATTTACACAAACTACAAACACCAATTCACAATTAAAGCATGTTGTATAAAAATTATAATTTACAAAGTGTTAAAAGATTCATCAGTTTTTGAGGGAAAAAAATTATTTCTTTTGGGAGAGCAAAACACCGGAAAAACTTACCTCATGATTGGTTAAAACCAACGTCCTTTTAGGTCTTTGCCTTCTTGAAAACCTTGAGTTTGTCTGAATTATTTTCTACATTTGCGAGAGTGGTATGCATGTATTGAGATAAGCAGAAATACTTTTAATTTTTCACTAGTGTACCGGGTGTTCCATACGTATGGTTTTGTTAGGGTTTGGTAAATGTTGCTAAGGTTGTCGGTATCTGATCTGAAATTTACTGCTTTTGCATGTTTTTTTATTTGTATCATTTCTTGGATTCTTCTTTTATGATAATTTGTTTCCCTAACTAAAATATCTGCGTTGTTAAAATCAAAATTATGCAACATTTGGTGTGCATGTTGTGTTAATACTGTTTTATTTTCACTAATACTTCTCAGACTGTATTTATGTTCGTACATTCTCTTTTTTAAATATTGTTTAGTTTGCTCTATATATGTATTATCACATTCTAAACAATTCACTCTATATACAGTATTTGGTTTATCCATTTTGTCAGTTTTTGGCTTTAGTTTTGGGAAACATTCAGTTGATGAGTTGTTTTTTGTTTTTTCCGCAATTATAATGTTGTGTGGCTTTAGTAGTTTTTAATTTTTTTTTGTCTTTAATGTGGGTGTGATAATTTTATACCTCTATACCTTTATTACGCTTTTTTATATTTTTGGGTGCATATGAATTATAGTTTAAAAATCTTCCTGACCAAACTTCTTTTGTATACCAATTTGTTTTTATTTCACCTGAATTATCATAATTTACTGTTATGTCTGAAAAATGTATTGATTGATTTTTATCCTTTTCCATTGTAAATTTTAGTGTCGTGAAAATAGTTGAATTTATCTAGGGTATATTGAACTTTACCTTTGGGTAAACACATTAAGCAATCATCCACATAGCGTTTAAAGAAAGTTGGTTTATAATTTAGGCTTGTTATTATGTTTTTTTCCAAGCTTTCCATAACAAGGTTTGCAATTGTTGCTGATATGGGGGAACCCATTGCTGCACCGTATATTTGTGAGTAATATTTGTCTTCGAACTTGAAATATGTAGATTTCAGGCAAATGTCTTTTAGGATCTTGTTTACCGACATTTTTAATGGCCAACTGTTCTGGGGTCATTTTTTCCTCATCCTCAAGATTTTTGTTATAGTTTTTAGCAAGCTCCAGCATATCTGCTACCGTTTTCTCATTGGTGCTACAATTTTCCGAATAATCAGCTAGAGTTAGTTCGTCCATCCAAGTTTAATAGCATATTTTGTTCTAATTCGTTTTTCCGGTAATTAATACTTATTGAGTAGTAATGCCTGTTAAGGCCGTGAATTAAAGCCTGCACAGATGGTTTTTGAAGATGCCCAAGATTGGACGTGGTCTGGCGAGGCTCTTGACCGAGTACCATCACGTTTGCATTTATCAATCTAAATGCATCTATAACAACTTTGCCTTTAACAGATTGTATTGGATCAACCACAACAGCAACAGCACGTTCGGACAAAGCCTCGAAGGACTGCTGGGTGTTTATGTCGACTCCTGAGAGCCAACATCCAAATCCTGGATGAGAGTGATACCAACCCACTACCATTTCGGGCCTTCCAGTTTGTCTGAGCATGTCCAACATTTTATGTCTATCACTCTCACTGTGTAGTCATCTACAAATTCACCTAGCATAAGGCCCATGACTTCCATAGGAACTCCAGCTCTTCCATGTTTTAACATCTTCAGAAGGGCCAGGGAGGAAATTTACACCTGCTCTGCAGTGTCCACAACTGGGGCATCACTGACAGGGGGCGCCTGACTTAAACCAGGCATTCCACCAGTCAATCTCAGTAATCTGTCCATTATAAATGTAAAGTCTCCTTATATTCGGGAACCAAGGAACACGAAAGGTTTGAACCGATTTTTACAATGCCGAGATGACTTGGGTTGTTTAGTAACTGACTGCGTATATATGTATAGAGTGAATTGTTTAGAATGTGATAATACTGTGGCGCAGATCCCCCCTCCATTCGCTCGAGTTGCGAGCGGAGGGCATTTCCGGAGTCTCTCCCCCGGAATGGGAATCGCGACCCTGTCCCTGCATTTTGAGCGATGTAATGGTGGATGCGCACTAATAAAAAAGACCCCAAGTCCAACGCACAAAATTTAATGGATACCGTGGGATTTTCCCACGGGACGGGATGCCAGGTACTTCTTTTGGGTAGTACACCCTGCTTGCGCGCGATTCTGCGCGCAATGTAAACTACCAATAATAAAAGCAAACAAAACAAAAAAAACAAAACAAACAACAACGAACAGACGGAATTGCAACCAACTACAATTAATAATATATAAAATAAACTAAAATTACGGGAGTCTATGGCTCGGGTACCTGTGGCGCGCACAATTGTCCCACGTACCGCGGCGGGCAAATAGTCTGGTCTCCGGAGCAAGGATGCTCCGGAAAAAACTGGTGTTCCTTGAAATCCAGCACTCAAAAAAAAAGAAAACAAAATGGCGTGGCGTGGCGTCGGTAGCCTTCTTTTTGGAGTACCCTAGACTGTCTCCGTACGCGTTTCCTTCGGGACTGGTTCACAGGACTGACCGTACGATCCCTTTTTCCCGACCGCACCCCCGCACCACCCTCTAACCCGGACGCACTGACCGCCACCGCGCACCATTAGTTAAAGGGTGAATGCGAGGGGTGTTTCTGGCGGAAAAAGGGATAACAAAAAATAATTTTACTTCGGGGCACGTCAATACATATAGAGGACAAACTAAACAATATTTTAAAAAGCGAATGTACGAACATAAATACAGTCTGAGAAATACTAGTGAAAATAAAACAGGATTAACACAACATGCACACCAAATGTTGCATAATTTTGATTTTAACAACGCAGATATTTTAGTTAGGGAAACACATTATCATAAAAGAAGAATCCAAGAAATGATACAAATAAAAAAACATGCAAAAGCAGTAAATTTCAGATCAGATACCGACAACCTTAGCAAGATTGACCAAACCAGAATAAAGCTATAAGTATGGAACACCCGGTACACTAGTGAAAAATTAAAACTAGTTCTGCTTATCTCAATACATGCATACCACTCTCGCAAAAAAATAATTCAGACAAACTTAAGGTTTTCAACAAGGACGTTGATTTTAACCAATCATGAGGTAAGTTTTTCCGGTGTTTTGTTCTCCCAAAAGGAAGATTTTTTTCCCTCAAAAACTGATGAATCTTTTAACACTTTGTAAATTATAATTTATATGCAACATGTTTTAATTGTGAATTGATGTTTGTAGTTTGTGTAAATTTTATATCTGATGATGGCGCTGTTGTCTCGCCGAAACGTAATGAAATAAACGATTCTTAAAACGTTTCAAAATTTTTACTTCACACTTTGACTGAGACCCAGGAAAGATAAGAATATCATAATTATTTGCAGTTGCAAAAACGAGGTTAAATTTGCTGAAGGTAAACAGTTAACTGGAAAAATTAATCACTCTTCAGTTTCGCTATTAGTTTGCCCCAATTGCGCAATTATTAACGTTAACTTGCAGTCAAATGGCGAAGAAAATAAGAAAAAATGAGGAACTCAAAATAACACAAGCACAAGTAGAAAATGTATCTGTAAATTGAAATGAAGCCAGGAAAAATTCACAGAAACTGCCAACACTCCCCAATAAATCAACTCAATAATCTTCCATAGTTCCGCAATTTGTAACAATTTGATGCGACAGAAAAAGAACGGCAATTATTACGTCACTGCCACAAGGCTTGAGACAGCTTACCTTGGTGTTCATAGAATCCACTTTTCCCCTCAACTCATTGCGTTCTTTTTGCACCGAATGCAGCTGCATCCTCAACTCCTCCTCCTGATGAGAGCCCATCTGAGTATCCGCAGGCCATTGAGCCAGTCTGAAATATTGCGCAAGTTAAACCAAGGGCGATTTTGCCAGGTTCGGCCCACCTAAGCTGCGATTCCAGTCCAGATTTTTGTACTTCATTATTCGCTAATTCGTTATTCAGTCTTGTTACTTGATCCTGAAGGATCTGGTTGTTGCGGCGCATTTCCGCCAAACTGTTCTGCGTGGTCTCCAATCGCTCGCTCACCACGCGCCGGTCGTTTTCACAGTTTGTCAGCGCTTTTTGCATCTAAATTAGGACGATATTTTGATGTGAATTGAGCCTTTGGAGTGACTTACATGTTTGAGCCTCTCGGTCTCGGTTTGCTGCGAGGACATCGTCTCCATCAAGCTGCGCTGCAGCCTTTGGACTTCGGCTTTCAGCTCGCTTTCACTGTTTGAAGCCTTTTCCAAGGAGCAGTTCAATTGGTCGATGGTTGATTTGAGTGAAATGCATCGTTCCTCCAAGCTTGCCAAGGCTCTGCTTTGGTGGTCGCACTTTTCTTGAAGTTTCTGCACAAATGATTGGTATTTTTGGCGTGAGGCTTCTCAATGGGTTCAACACGCTTACTTGAAGAGTGGTATCCTTTTCCTGCAGCATCATCTGTAGCCTCTGTAAATCGCCCTCTGTGGACATTCTTTGCAGTTCCAGTTTGGTGGATCTGCTCTCAGTTCGGGCCAGTTCTTCTTGCAGGTTTCGTTTCTCGGCCTCTGATCGGTTGAGGGCCACCTTCAGTTTTTCGATTTTCTCCTAAATAACCGCAGCTCAATTAACTGCTTCGCTTCATTAAGCAACGTTACCTCATAGTGGTGCTTCTGGTCGCTTTCCCCACTCAGGGACAGTTCCAAAGACACCACCTTCTCCCTCATCTGCTTCGCCTCCTCGGTTTTCTTCAGCAGGACGTCGTTTTGCGCCTGCAGTTCCATGTTCTTCTGCCCCAAAGTGGCCTCCAAATTTCCCTTTTCCTCCTGCAAGGTTCGGAGGCTCTGCAACACTTTGGTCATTTTGTGGTCGCCTTTACTCTGAGTGTCCTGTGCTTCTTGCAGTTGCTTTTTAGCGGTGACCACCTGCGTTTTGTAGTCGTCCTTTAAGAGAAACCCAGAGATGAAATGCCGATTTTTTTAGTGAGTGGCTAATTACCCGCTCTCTTTCGATTTGAGCGACTTGTTGCATCAGGTTGCGCACGCCTTTTCGCACCACCTCCGGATCCACATCGATAGAGCCGTCTTTGTCCTCATGGCCTGCAGGTTAGAGTTGCTCTAGTTCACATTTTTTTAAGTTATTTTATCTACCTCTAGCCGGGCTCCATCTGCGTGATGGACTCAGCAATCTATAGGGCATGCTAACTGAACCATCCAGCTGGATGCCTCCTATTCTCCTCAAAGTGGACACCACGCTGAAGAGCTTTTGCTCGATTTCCCGTTTGGCACATTCCAGTTGAGTGAGTTGCGTTTCTAAGGCGCGCACTCTTCCCTCAGCTCCTCCCAGTTTGGCCTGCAAACGTTGTTTAATTGTTTCTGAAAGCATTTTACCACCACTTCCACTACCTTCAGCTCTTGTATCTGTTGAGTGGCGTCCACCAAGCAGACTTCTAAATTGTGCTTTTGGTCCTCCAGCCGCTTTTCCTTCACTCTGCTGTCCTCCAAATGGACCAGCAGGTCTTGTTCGCGTGCATGCCATTGCTCCTCTAGTTGGCCCGAATGACTTCGGGTCTTGTTCAACTCCTGCCTGGTTTGTTCCAGATTTCTCTCCAGCTCAGACATCTATAATGGCAGGTTTATATTATAGGATTTTATTCCCAGCTGCTTGGAGGCAGCTGGAAAGCAGAGAAAAGGTTTTTCAAATACCTGCTTTCTCAGTTGGTGCAGCTCTTGATGGGACCGCTCGCGCTCCTCCACTTCGTTCAACAGTCGGGATTGCAGCTCCTTCTCCTCCTGCTGCTGTTGACTGCCGGCCGCCTGAGCTCTTTGCAGTTCTTCCTGGAAGCTCTGCACCTTGTGCTCGGTTTGCAGCTGTTCCTTCTCTAGATCCCGGATGTGGTTCTGAAGGCGGGCGCGGTCATGATCCAACGATCCTTTCACTTCTTCTAGACCTGGAATGTTGATTGCAGTTGACAAACTGAACCTGGATGCTTGACTGGAAATTTGGAACATCTGGACATGGGCTGCATGTGTTTTTTTAATGAGCACGTCAAGAGAATCTTCCCATCGGATTTCGAGGAAATTCCATTGTTATTCCGTGACGTGCTCGAGCGCGGATTACTTAATTACATTGATGATCTGAGTGTTTTTGTTAATTACGTGTTTTGCTGCCGGATCTGCTCCGAGAAACTCTGGTAATTATTCATTGTTCAGTCGGAAGTGTTTCTGGGCTTTCAGGTTTTATTCTGCAAGGTGCATGCGGACCACTTTTTTAGGTAGTTTTTCATTTAAAAAACTGCAACTCTGAAACCGTGCTGGAAAAAATAAGCTGGCAAAAATCAGACTTGTGCGATTTCTACAAAACATTCCCCATATTTAGGGGCGAGTGTCGTCTAGAGATGGAAAAAATTGCAAGTTGATACGTCAATTCGGTTGGAAGATGTGAATTTTCTAATTAAAAAGCGCAGCTTGGAAAAATACCAATTTTGATGCCGATTTTTGCTATGCTGGCAAAAATCAGAAACTCTGGCCATTTCAATGAAACTTTCCGGGTATTGAAAAGCAAGTGTCTTCTAAAGATAGCAAAAATTTCATGTTGCTGCTTGAATTCGTTTGAAACATGCGATTTTTGTATGAAAAAGTGCAGTTTGGGAAAACATCCATTTTGATGCCGATATTTCTTAAGCTATCAAAAATCAGAAACTTGTGCGATTTCTACAAAACATTCCCCATATTTAGGGGCGAGTGTCGTCTAGAGATGGAAAAAATTGCAAGTTGCTACGTCAATTCGGTTGGAAGATGCAAATTTTCTAATGAAAAAGCGCAGCTTGGAAAAAACATCAATATTGATGCCGATTTTTACTACGTTGGCAAAAATCAGAAACTTGGGCCATTTCAATTAAACTTTCCGAGTAACAAGCTGCAGATTGAGCGATTGAGGCTCTATTAGTCAAAAATTTTAAAACTGGTATCCATTTTGCACCAGATGTTTTTATATGGGCATCGAAGCTCAAGACTTTTTTCTGTAAAAATTTGCAACTTTCAAAACAAAGTGAAGAAAAGGTCTTAGAACCCGTTCATGGAGCCACTGAGGCTCTATTAGTTGAAGAATGTGCGAAACTAGTCGCTATTTTGCCCGATTTTCTAAGAATTATTAATAGAATTAGAATTATAGAATATAATAGAATTTTTGGGAAATCGAATCGAAATTTGGAACTTCTTTCCATTTTGCCCAAATTTTGAGGAATTTTCCATTTCGACACCCACGCTGAGGACAGATTTTTTCAAAATTTTGTTAAAGAATTGTAATAGAAAAAATTGAAAACTAGTTGCTATTTTGGCCGAATTTTTAGGAATTTGCCAGTTAGACATCGACGCTCAAGACAGATTTTGTTTAAAAATTCACATCTCTGAAACTAGACAGACTGAAGAAACGCCTTCTGAACTTTTGTGCAGAATGGTAGAGGCTCTATTACTAGGAAAATATTTTGCTAGATACGATTTTGCCCAAACTTTAACGAATTTGTCATTCAGCCATCGAACCTTTAGACAGATTGGTAACTTTAGAACCAAACACCCTGAAAACCCACGCTTTAAACTTTTCAATAGAGCGATTGAAGCTCTAATGGTGGATACAGTTGGGAAACTAGTTGCGATTTTGCCCGAATTTTCAGGAATTTTCGATTTAGACATCGGCACATTTTTTGTAAATTCACAACTTCTGAAATCTTTAATAAGGCGGTTGAGGTTGAGGCTCTATTAGTAGACAATTGAAAACTAGCTGTCATTTTGTCCGAATTTTAGGAAATTTTTCAGTCAACCATCGACGCTTAAGTTTTTCTTCAAAAATTCGTAGCTCGGAAACCAAACAATCGGTGAAAAGGTTTCTTCAACTCTTCGAGCGATTGAGGGTCAACAGGAGAAAAATTTGGACAACTTGATCAGTTTTTTCTGTAATTTTTACGAATTTTTCATTTAAGCATAAGACGGTTTTTCTTTAAAAAGTTTATAAGTAACCTTAAAACCGAACAACCTGAAGACAATATCTTGAAACTTTTTTATAGAGCGATCGATGCTCTATTGGGCGATGAAATTGAAAAACTTGTTGAGTTTTTGCCTAAATGTTTACGATTTTTTTCATTTAGGCATCGACGCATACGACGTTCTTTTCTTACAAATATCGTCACTTTCAAACCAAACAACCTGAAGACAAACGCTCTAAATTTTTCAATCGAGCGGTTGAGGGTCTTTTGGTAGCAACAATTTGGGAAACTAGGTTAAATTTTCAAAAGTTCTTTCAACAGTTCAATAGAGCAAAAAAATAGGAAAACGTTTTTGCCCGAATTTTCAGGGTCTTTTAATTTAGGTTTTGACGCTTAAAACCGTTTTACTCCAAGAAATTTGAGGCTCTGGTAGAAACATTTGCGCCTTTGCCAAATTTTAACGAATTGTTCAATTTATCAACTTTAAAAAGTTAATGCCTAAATGGAAAATTTACGAAAAACTAATTTTCCAAGATTTTATATCAATACTAGCTGACCCGGCAAACGTTGTATTGCCATATAAATTATTCCTAGGGTTTTTTTTTCATCTCGAGTGGGCGGTTTGCCCACTTGAGATTTTTTTAAATTGTATTTTAAATTTATTGAATTACTAACATAGCTATTAAAAGATAGGGGTTTATGGCAGCACCCATATCACTTAGGGGTATAAAAAATAGATAACAACCTATTCTCAGATCTACTGAATTTGTCTTTATATACATCATAATCATACAAAATTTCATCAAAATTGGTCAAGCCCTTTCGGAGGAGTATGATAACTAAAACTGTGACACGAGAATTTTATATATATAGATAGTCTCAATCCCTCTATTGAAAGTTTCAGGTGCAGTTGCTCTGTTTCAAAGTTGCGAATTAAAAAAAAACCGTCTTAAGGTTCGATGAATGAATGGAAAATTCGTTAAAATTCGAGAAAAATTGCAGCTACTTTTTCAATTGAAAAGTTCAGAAATCTTTTCTTCAGTCTCTGTAATTTCAGATATATGATTTTTTTTAGAATATCTGTATTGATCGTCGATATCTAAATGGAAAATTCTCCAAAATTCGTGCAAAATCAAAACCAGTTCCTCAATTTGTCTACCAATAGAGCCTTAATCTCTCTATTGAACAGATAAAAAACCTTTTTTTCGGATTGACTAGTTTTAAAGGTACGAATAAAAAAAACTGAAACTAGTGGGTTTTTCGGGTTTTTAGACCGTCGTAAAATGGAATTTCTTCCTGACGATTCGCAAGCACGAGTGACTTGCATCCCCAGGTGAGGTGGCTTAAGGTGGTGTAAGCGTTCACAGAAGCCACCTCAGAGGATGCAAGCCACTCATGCTTGCGAAACGTCAGGAAGAAATTCCATTTTACGACGGCCTAAAAACCCGAAAAACCCACTAGTTTCAAGGAATGGCCTCGAAAATCTATATCTTTTGATAAAAAAAAACTTTCTTTAACTTCAATGCCCAAACGAAAAATTATTAAAAAATCGGGCAAAATCGCAAAGCTTTGAGCTAATAGAGCGCCACTCGGTCCATTGACGAGTTCCAAGAGCTTTTCTTCACCTTGTCTGGATTAAGAGTTGCGAATTTTTAAAGAGAAATTAAAGGTTTCCGAAATTTTCTACTAATAGAGCCTCAATCGCTCTATTGATGAACCAGTTTTCCACTGACGCATAGACGTTTCAGAAGATTTTTCGATAAAAACTGTATCACTTTGAACTGAAGCCAAGCGCTCTAAACGTTTCAATAGAGTGATTGAGGCTCTATTGATGGATAAAATTGGGAAAATAGTTGTAATTTAGCCCAAATTTTTACAAAATTCCAATTAATCATCGCCGATAAACACGAATGTTTTTTTTTTAATTGTAACTGAAACCAGGCAATCTGAAAAAGCCCTCGGAACTCTTCAGTAGGGCGATTTAGGCTTTATTTTCCCAAGCTGCTGAAGACGGTTTTGCTTCGAACCGTTGTAACTCCGAAACCAAACAAGCTACAAAAAGCCCTCTTAACTATTCATAAATTCCTACTTTGCCACATTTACTAAATACTGGAGAATTAATACTATTTCCAAAAATTTTAAACAGCGATTTAAAATCGCTGCGATTGTGCACCTGCAAAAAGTCACCCAGCATATGCACGGTAATGAGATGAATTTTTGCCATCTGTTGTACTTGTTATTTACGATCGCCTCGGTAAATTCAGACCAAGGAAATCGCCTTCTTTAGTCTAATTAGACACTTTTATCGGTATTCATTCAGCTGTGTGCTAGTTTTTTTCGTTATGATTCAATAGGCTATTTTCAATGATTTTCCTTGATTTACTTTAGTTTTATGCGCAAAAATCAGCAGTAGAACTATGGTAATTTTTATGGTTCTTTATCCGGTGGTTTTTGTAATTTTTTTGTTGAGACACTGGTGCTGTTCATTGCGTTTTTAGATTCGAGTTTCGCATTTTTTCATTACAAGCTTTTTTCCAATTATCCTTTTAATTGCAAAAATTACAAATCTTGCATAAAGAACCTGCTAAAATGGCCGTTTTGGGCCACAATAAGAGCTCGACTTAGTTTTAAAACCGCGAACAAACTGGCCACTTTTTGCGCGAAAGTAACAGAAAGCGCAATTTTTCAGTGCCTTATTCGGTGTGAAAATGCGACGTTTTTTCACTCTAAAATCAGATGAAGAAAATTGCAATTTTTCTAGCACTAAACAATGTTTGACGTTGTTTAATTATAGAGTTAAAAATCTTTGTACAATTTTTCAAGATAGTTATTAGGTATTTCAGACACGCTTAAGGCATGACTTTTTGATGTGAAAGCTGATTTTCAAGCTCTGAATTCGCATCAAGAATCTTGCGTATTATTTTTAATCGTTTGCATATTTTTCAACAATTTTTATTTAAATCGAGAAGCAAAAAGCTGGATAGAAACATATTAATTTTCGCAAAAGTTAACCATTGCTTGAAACTGTGTTTTCGGTCTTTTAGGCCAGAAGAATAAAATCAAATTGATCAACTTGTGTCGCTTTGCGGCATGCTAAGAGCATGACTTGGTCTTAAGGTAATTTAGGACCATAATTCAAATTTGTACTTTTTTATGCACATTCATTAACAACTTTTGCTGTGTTGCCCAACCACGCAAAATGTCTTGCAACTCCGGAAATGGGACACTACTTACATCCTAACCCATGACTTAATCGCTTTAAAATCCAGGGCAAATTATGCAAAAATTGCAGATTTATTGAATGTTTATGGCAAAAATACCTGCATGTTCTCCCAAGCAGATTGTTAGGTTGCAGTTGGGCCCGTTCCAATAATATTTCACAGTTTGAATGCAAATTAACTGGGCGATAATTGACGCGAATTTTAAATATTTGCATTTTTCCTCGTTTCGCTACTCTATAAGCACCTCGTCTAACATTTACTTAACATTGAAATCCGGCTAAGCGTGCATAGCAAGTATTTGCTGAAAACATGATTAAGTGGACTAACGTTAAATTGCGTGTTAATTGCGAATAAATGGAAAAAAGCAAGCATTTTTTAATAAACCCCAGATCAAATATGCAAACCGAACGCTTAAAGCAACCGCCCCACTTTGTTGCCCCCTCTTGAAACTACTTTGACGCCCTGAATTCTCCCATATATGAATATTTCGACACAGGAGGAAAAATGGCCACAGAAATGGCTCGGTGCCCTTTCAACAAACAGCATGTGATGGCCACTACTGTGTTGCAAAGACACATCGTCAAATGTATGAAGAATTACCCCGGATGGCTGGTTTGTCCCTACAATGCTATGCATCAGTTTCCCGACACTGATACTCTCACCCAGCACATGCTGATTTGCCCCTTTAAGGAGACGGTAGCCACATTGGCGCAAAGGGAGTACGACAACGACAGGAGAAAAGCCCTGGCACACGCTCCTGTTCACATCGAGGGAATTCGGGAGATTAATTTGTCTGAGGAGGACTGGGATGAGGAGTACTTATAAGTGTTAGAGTTAGAGATTAAATTTTGATGATTAATTGCTTACTGGATATCTTTTGGAGGGCATCCTCCAGCTGCCGCGCTTGTTCCCTCTTTTCGCTCTCCGTTCTCTTCACATGATCCCTCAACTCCTTGTTGGTGTTGTGGTATTTTTCCTTTTCAAACGTGCTGTCCGCCAACATACGCCTCACGTCCGTAAGTTCCTTCCTCAAACATTCTGAGCTGTTTTCCACTGAAATATTGCTCAACTTTAATAACCCCATCCTCCTCTCCTCTCTCAGTAAACAGTCTCAACTTACCTTCTTTGAGTTTTCTGGTGGTTTCGTGCAGTAAATTGCTGACGCTCTCGCTCTTGTCCTCACAAAGGTGCAACTGGACTTTCAGGTTCTCGGCCTCATTTTGCGCGTTGTCTCTCTCGATGCGGATTTCCTCAATTTTCTGTTGCAGCGCTGTCTTCTCCTCTTCACTGCGCGTCTTAGATTCCTCCAATCGGGCCTAAACAACGATTCCAATGTGAATTTGATTAGGTTTTTTCAGTGACAAATGTCTCCCAAGTAAGAAAAGGCAGAACTTCATTTTTTGGGCACTTAAGCGAGTGCAAAGTATGCACTCATTTAAGTTTGTGGGGCTCTTAAGAGCGAAGTTTTCTACGATTTCAGTGACTCAGAGGTGCCTACTTTTTCCTAAATGTTTGCAAATTTTGCTTCAAAAACTTGAAAATTTCGACTTAAAAAATGGTTAAAAAATGACTGGTCGAACAGACTTTGAGACAAGAGAATTTTTTGATACAATAGAAAATACTTAAAGTAGGTACATCTGTAGACTAAAAAAAATGATCAAGAGGCTTTCTAAGAACCAATAGCCTCATTAAAAAAACGATTTTTATTATATATCAGCTTCAATCAATTAATGTCCAAGTTCTTCGGTTCCCAATTTTTGCTTCAAACGTCGGCTTGATCTCAACTTGGTTTTGATACCCAGTCCAACATATACACAGAAAGAAGTTCCAAAGACCGCAAAAAGTCTTTAATATTTCCTTGTTGATGACAAAATGGCAAAAACTTTTATTCCACAATCTAAGGGTACAAATGAGACTAGACAATTCGCTAGAAATTGCACTGACAAATTTATTAAGTCAATTTCCCAAAAGTTGTATTGATTATATCCAGTTAAATCTTAGTTAATTTTTGTAGTTTACCCAATTTTCAAAACGCATTTTGAAGCTTAAAATCTTCCATTTTTAAGCAAATTTAAAATCATGTAAAAAACACGCGACTGTTGAATGGACGAGTGCTTTGCGGCTTTTCCGGATAAATCGGATCGTATTTCGGCTACTTTCAGGAATCTTCGCGTTCATGCCACTTTCGAAATTTTAAAATTGGCGAAAAACTGACCGCAATTGGAGAAAAGACGTCCTTTAACTCAATTTTTTAAGTTTATTAAACATATGGTATTTTGCAGGTCTTAAACTAATGTTTAGAAGCTCAAAATCTTCAATTTTTTGAACATCTTAAATTCGGACAAAAGTGCAAGTTTTGAATGGATGAGTGGTTTTTGTTTTGTTTTGCGTCTTTCCCCCATAAATCGGCTTGCAGTTAAGTAATCATCAACTGAAAAGTTTTGAAACTAGAATCTTTTGGGGCAATTTTTTTTAGTGTTAAAGCGTTTCACCATTGTTTAAAATACATTTTGTGGATCAAAATCTTCCATAATTTCCATTTTACATTTAAATCCGCTGAGAAACCAGTGAGTTTCGAGTGGAAAAGTGTTTTGTGTTTCGCATTGGGTCTTTTTCCAGAAAAAGCGACTCTAAGTTTAATCACCTTTAAGAATTTTCGAGTTTTTCAAAATTCATTGGAAAGCTTAAAATATCCCGTGCTCCCAGTCTTGAACGAATATATAGAATTGGCGGAAAAACTGACCGAGATGTGAGCGAAAGAAAGTTACTCACTACTACTTACAAACTATACACTGGTTTAAATTTGTGGGACCCGAGAGCGAAATTTACCTGATTTCGGATTTCAGTGACACTCAACCGGTAACTTTTTGCTCGATTTTTCGAATCGAAATTTTCTAGGATTTTATTGACTCATCAGAGGCAAATTTGTCCTCAAATTTCGCTAATTCTGCCTCAAAACCTTGAAAATGTCCACTTCTTTGCAGATGCTTTTTACTGATTCTAGTTCTTCGCGCGTTTATGATAGCACTCGCTTTAGAAAATAATCTCTCGCATTTCGTTTCACAATAACATTAAATAATTCGCAATAACAACAAACATAAATGCGTGTTTGGCAAGCCTAGACGAAGTATTACTCAAGTTAATTTTGGTACCACCAAAAACAAATTAAAAAAAATATATGTCGACCCTACAACGTTTATTACTATTCAAATAACTTTTATTTCATCTCTGACTGAATTTATATTCAAAAATGGCCATCTTGCTTAAATGCAGGTGCACATTCTGCTAAAAACGGTTGTTATTTTAAATTTCAACTGTGATGGAATTTACGTCTTAGACTCTTAGTTTGCTCATAGCTCAAATGCAAGTGCACATTATGCTTAGTTTGCTGGTAATGGCCATATAACTCCCGAGCTAAGTTTCTTGAGAGAAATCCGATTTTTTAAGATTTATTAGAGAATATCAGAAAACTAAATATTTATAGACTAAAAACGCTGAATTATATCATCGCAGCAACTAAACAAATTTTCGCTGGTTCCTGGTGAACTGAACAGTAATTCCTATAAACGAACAATGATACACAATCATCAAGGCAACGCGCAACTACATACAACATGTTTTCCGTTGACAAATGGTAACTGAAACTGCTGCAACTGGATAGACAGAGCGCTCGACGATGCCGCATCAGTTCCATAGATCAGTTCTGTCCTTACGCGAACCACTTTTTCAGGTTGATGAGACGGTTCCAAAAACAACCTATAAATCGGCAAACGGCTGCAGCTGTTACGAAGTGTGCGCACTGCTATTTCGGTTTTATGAGACGGTTCCAAAAAAACCGGTTAAATCGGCTAGCTGTAACTACGGTTTCACGTTACACATTTGGAACACTGTTATTTTAGCGGTTACGTTAAATATCGACCATCCCTAGCCGCTATATCGCATAGCCATTAGGATCTACTACTAAACACGTTAGAAACTGTATATATTTAAATATTACTACTGTATATTACACTATTTGTCAACAAATCAGCTACATTGCACTGCGATTGACGATTGGACTACCTTTTTTTCGTTTCTCGTTTCCGAAAGGGCGTCGTAATATCGTCTTGGCTCACGACCACTTAAAAAGTTCGAAAGGCCCAAATTACCACAGTAATAAAGTTAAGTTTTCTGTCGCTTTAACGTTACGAGCAACAGTAGATGCCACAGTAGACTATTTTTTTACAAACTTCTTTTTGGGTATTTCGCCTTGTCTTAAAAAAAAGACAGAATTTCCTCACGTCTTTTATTACAGATTGATAAATAGTGCTCCTATTTCGCAATAAGAACGAATTATTTATCAAA